GGGCTCAGCCCCCCCGAATTGGGGCGGAAAAGGGCAAAATGGGGAGCGGAGGGGAAGGGGAGGCCCCGCCCCCCCGGATTGGGGCGAAAAAGGGGGAAAACGGGGGCGGGGCGGCCGGCCGGGGAACGGCCCTCGGAAACGGGGTGAAAAAGGGCGAAACGAGGAGGGAGGAGGAAGAGGAAGAGGAGGAAGAGGAAGAGGAGGAGATGCCCCGGAAAAATGGGGTGAAAAAGGGGAAAACCGGGAGTCGGAGCGAGGCCCGGAAAACAGCATTGAAAATTGGGGTGAAAAAGGGCAAAATAGAGAGCGAAGAGGAGGAGGAAGAGGAGGAGGAAGAGGAGGAGGAAGAGGAGGAGGAAGAAGAAGACCCGCCCCAGAGGAAGAGGAGGAAGACCCACCCTTGAAAAATGGGGTGAAAAGCGGCAAAAATGGGAGTCAGAGCCAGGACCGAAAAAGAGCATTGAAAATTGGGGTGAAAAAGGGCAAAATAGAGAGTGAGGAAGAGGAAGAGGGAAAGGAAGAAGAGGAGGAAGAGGAAGACCCGCCCCGGAAAAATGGGGTGAAAAGCGGCAAAAATGGGAGTCAGAGCCAGGACCGAAAAAGAGCATTGAAAATTGGGGTGAAAAAGGGCAAAATAGAGAGCGAAGAGGAGGAAGAGGAAGAGGAGAAAGAGAAGGAGGAAGAAGAGGAGGAAGAGGAAGACCCACCCCGGAAAAATGGGGTGAAAAAGGGCAAAAAAGGGAGTGAGAGCGAAGAGCGAAGAAGAGCATTGAAAACTGGGGTGAAAAAGGGCAAAATAGAGAGCGAAGAGGAGGAGGAAGAGGAGGAGGAAGAGGAGGAGGAAGAGGAGGAGGAAGAAGAAGACCCGCCCCGGAAAAATGGGGTGAAAAAGGGCAAAAACGGGAGTGAGGAAAAGGAGAAAAGGACAATGAAAAATGGGGTGAAAAAAGGCAAAAACGGGAGTGAGGAAGAGGCGAAAAGGGCTGTGAAAAATAGGGGGAAAAAGAGGAAACTGGAGAGCGACGATGACGATGATGAAGAGGAAGAGGAAGAGGAGGAGGAGGAAGAGAAGCGGAAGAAGCTTCCCCACAAAAACGGGGCGGAAAAGGGCAAAACCGGGAGCAAGAGCGAGAAGCGAAAAAGAGCGTTGAAAATTGGGGTGAAAAGGGCCAAAATAGAGAGTGAGGAGGAGGAAGAGGAGGAGGAAGATGACGAGGAGGAAGAAGAGGAAGAGCCGCCCCGGAAAAACGGGGTGAAAAGGAGCAAAATGAGGAATGAGGACGAGCGGAAACGGGCAGTGAAAAATGGGGTGAAAAAGGGCGAAAAGGGGAGTGAGAAGGAGGCGAAAAGAGCCGTGAAAAATGGGGGGAAAAAGGGCAAAATCGAAAGTGATGATGATGAGGAAGAGGAAGAAGAGGAGGAGGAAGAGCCGCCCCGGAAAAATGGGGTGAAAAAGAGCAAAATTGAGAGCGAGGATGAAGAGATGAAGCCCCTCCGCAAAAATGGGGTGAAAAGGGGTAAAAATGGGACTGAGGCTACGAAAAATGGGGTGAAAAGGGGCAAAATTGAGAGTGACGACGAGGAAGAGGAAGAGGAGGAAGAGGAAGAGGAGGAAGAGGAAGAAGAGGAGGAAAAGGGGAAGAGGAAGGACCCGCCCCCCAAAAATGGGGTGAAAACGGGCAAAAAGAGTGAGAGGGAAAAGAAACAACCTGCGAGAAACGGGGCAAAAAGGGTGAAAATGGAGAGTGACGACGAGGAAGAGGAGGAAGAGGAAGAGGAAGAGGAAGAGGAAGAGGAAGAGGAAGAGGAAGAGGAAGAGGAAGAAGAGAAAAAGGAGAAGAGGAAGAGCCTGCCCCCCAAAAATGGGGTGAAAACAGGCAAAAGGAGCGGCGAGAGTGGGAAAAAACAGCCTGCGAAAAACGGGGCGAAAAGGGTAAAAATAGAGAGTGAGGAAGAGGAGGAGGAGGAGGAAGAGGAAGAAGAGGAGGAGGAAGAGGAAGAGGAAAAGGAGAAGAGGAAGAACCCGCCCCGCAAAAATGATGAGAAAACGGGCAAAAAGAGGACTGAGAGTGAGAAAAAACGGCCGGGGGGAAATGGGGCAAAAAGCGTGAAAATGGAGAGTGAGGAGGAAGAAGAGGAGGAAGAGGAGGAGGAAGAGGAAGAGGAAAAGAAAAGGAAGAGCCCACCCCCCAAAAATAGGGTGAAAACGGGCAAAAAGAGGAGTGAGAGTGAGAAGAAACGACCCGCGAAAAATAGGGCGGAAAGGGTGAAAACGGAGAGCGAGGAGGAAGAGGAGGAGGAAGAGGAAGAGGAAGAGGAGGAGAAAGAGGAAGAGGAAGAGGAGGAGGAAGAGGAAGAGCCCCCCCCGTTAAGGAAAAGCGTTCCCCCACCTCAGGCGGAGGCTGGAAGTGGTTCGGAAGACGACGATCTGCCCTTGCGGAAATGGGTGGAAAAACGGCGGAAACGGGCAAAAGAGGAAGAGGAGGGGGCGGGGAGGAAGAGGAAGCGGCGGCGGGAATCTTCCTCTTCCTCCTCTTCCTCCTC